AATAAAAATTAGCGAAAAAAAATCGCTGATAGCGCGCAGCGGGAACTCTTGAAGTGACGCTGATGCGCCCCATGAACTCCATAAATGAGGCGGTCGAACCTACTTTTCGAACATGGCGGTGTGCGCACTCCGATTGCGTTGCATCATGGTCGTAAAAAATTGCGCCATTTCCATCTTGACGCATCGGAGTGAACTTCTCTGATGGCAGCGAATATACGGGAATTGTAATGGAGATTCACTGTTGCCGTTCCTTCAAAGGTTAAAAAGTTTGACGAGCCTGCGTGACGAATTCTGCGACTCCGATGATGAATTCCGCGACTCCCGTACTTGCGTTTGTCTATGAGAACGATAGAATACGCGACAAATATGTAAGAAAAATGCCTCTACACATTCACAACATATCACACTAGATTCACCTAAGTGAAAGGAAAAAGAAACGGCCTAAATTTTACGGAATGTTCAGTCAAAATCTGCCGATTTCTGCCACCTTTATCGCCAAATTGGAAATAGCGCTTCCACAATGCAATGCAATCGGAGTGCGCACACCGCGTGTTTTCGAACCTACTTTCCGAGCGCCTGACTCACGAGGCTCATGCGGCGCATCGGCGTCACTCCAAGAGCTCCCCACAGCGCGCTAATATCAAATTTTTTTTTTAATTTTTTTTTCTACTCGCGCGACGGACTTCGCCGAAAAGGAGGGACTACTCATAGTATATCATTCCCAGGTCTTTTTTCCTTTCTCAATTTCAAGTGAAAAGGTCTTAGGAATGGCAATAATGAAGCCCGCGTAGCGATTTTTGTATCAACGGTATTTTATCGACCATTTTAGACATTTGTGTCAGTAGCATAGACCAGCTTTCGAACCGAGCCTCGTGAATATGTAACGTCAATTTTATGCTATTTACAGGGATAAACTAGGAATCAAGGACTAGTCATCTCCATTTATTAGCTGCATGTCCTATATGGCGGCTTTTCGATCTAACCGACAACTTCTATGAGTAAAGGAATTTGTTGAAAAAACAACCTCAACATTTTTAGCTCCTTCACACATTAGGTTTTTTTTCCAGCCGGGACATACTTTTTCCTCCTTTCCCTAAAAGAAAATGCCGTTGCGAAACAAAACACGGCATTTATTTCCTTTATTCTCAAAATGGTTGCCTGACAAAAACTTGAGAGAACAGTCATATCAATGATCTCTCTTCTAAGGTCTTAGATCAAAACATACAGTCACGTTTACATGCCACAGTAACAGTCACTATTGTAAAATACCGTGCAAGAGAGAATTAGTCAAAACATTACTAATTTTCAACATGATTTAGTATCATCCAAATTCAACGACAATGAAATTAGTGCTCATATCATTTGTAAAGGGGGTAAATTTCTGAAGAAACTGTGGTGCTGGGTCGGTGGGGGTAACAGGGTAATTTGATTTTATCAACTGAGTTGATAATGTAAATTGTTAACCTTAAAGAGTTTCAAAGCTGACGTTTCGAGCGCTAGCCTTCGTCACAGCGAATGACGAAGGGCTAAAGCTTTAAATGTCAGCTTTTTAGAGTGAAATGCGAATTCGAAAGCTGTCAACTTCATCAGGTACAGATGCTGTTTCGGGCTTGTTAACACACTGAAACTACTTAAACGCCAAGTATAATGGGGTTTAATAAAAGGCAGCATTTTTGAACAGTTACCATTGTTATTGTTAATATCAGTTGAACACACTTTGCATGGGCAAGATATTAAAACTTTCAATGAATGTCTTGGATAGGGTTACCCTTCCATCAATGGCGCGTTCCCGTTTCATTGTCCGCGAAATACCCCCTATCCTAAATTAAATTGAATCGGTTTAGTACACGCTGAAAATTACCGAAATATCTAGACATACACACGCAAATATTAGTGCTAAAGTGACCGGACTACGACTTGAAAAAATCTTCTCAGGATCCCCGGAAATACCTAGACCACTTGTCCAGAACAGCAGCACCTGCTTTTAACCACACCTATTTACACGATTACGAAACGAAGGAACTAAAGCTGTCCAGTTAATAAAGTGACACTTCTTGACCTAGGACGTTCAATATAGTTATAATAACATAACCATCATTCAGATGTTCAGTTCTTGTAGTCAGTTCTGATGCAGTTAATGACTGCATGCTCTGCGACTGATCACGGGAATGATCATAACAGACTCAAAGATATCGGTGACAAAGAAAAACTGCCCCACTATTAGCCTGCGTTTTTACTGAGACGATTGCTAACGGGAGACCCCACGCATAAGCGACTGAATCATCAAAGAAGTACTGCCCTATTCCAGTTGAACGCACAAAAAAACTGGACATATGTTAGAGTATGGTACAGGATTTAAGAGAGCTTAAGAGTCCCCTATGCGGGACACAGTTCATGACGACCCGTTACTTTGCCTCTCGGCGTCCGTTAGACTCCTCCTCACTTCTTCCAATTCGTTTGTGGTCCTGTATGAGGCAAGGCAAATAAAACAAATTAACCAAAAATTCGGAAACTATCAAGCTAGAGGATTTGGATGAAGATTTCTTGCAAAACGGGGCGAGTTCAAGGCAAAGGTACAAGTGGTTTGTTTTTGTTTAGCTTCGAGACAAGACAAGACTTAATGATTTCACTGAGTGTGATCAATTTTTTTATGTTTAGTGGGTAGCTACTGTTTAGGAACATAACTTTTACCACACCCAAAGAGGAAGTATTGAATGAACAGAAAGGAAAGTTGCACTGGGTGGGGAGTCACATAGCGTACGTGTTTAATTCGCTAGAGCTTTCAAATTCAAAGCATTCTAACAAAATGGCGAAGTATCCACGACAAAAAAATTGTTTACCTTGTAAGATCGTTGTTGTTCTCATCCAATATTTTCTGTTGCACGGCCTGGCACCATTCAAGGTAATTCCTGGCTAGCTCGAATTCTTTCTTCATTTTATGAGCCATTCCAAGGTCAAAAAGCGACTTGGCAGTGTCACGATGGTCTTTCAGTAGCTTGTGCCGGATATCCAACGCTTCTTTCGAATATCGCTCGGCATCGTCGTATTTGCCCAAGGCGTAATAATTGTTTGAAAGATTGTTGAGGATTGTTGCGCTGAAAGGGTGGTCTCCCAGTCTTGTCTTGTAAATTGGCAAGGTCTGCTTCTCTCGGACCTCTATTGCGAGCCGATGATTTTCTTCGAGTGAAAGGATCACTAAAAAAGGTGAAGCACGGTTTTATTACTGTATTTGTCGAGGATGCTCAAAATTCAAGTGATACAAAGATACAATAATTCCACTCAGGCCCTTTCCGGCTGCTATGAAGATAATCAAGACAGGCTGCAAGATTGATCATAGATGTTTTAAATAAAATATTTCGAAATAATCTTGAAGCGCCTAAATCTCTTCAAAGTTGTACACATTAGAATTCATGTTTGGGGTTTAGTTTATCTGGTAGCTGATTCATACAAGAGAATTACATTTACCAAATAAAGCTGAACAGCAACTCAAGCTGTCTTCTTATTCTCTCATTATACATTTTCGTTATCCTTCCTTACTCTCATCTTGCCTGTTTTGTCATATCTCTCATCCTTCTCTTTTCACATCCACTTTCTACGTTATCACTTTCTTTTCTCATCTTTCTATCTTTCCCGCAACTTGAAAGCCCGCTCATACCGGGCCGACCATTTCCAGTTCAATCCTTGTACAGTGTACATACCAGCCAAATCAGATTGTATAACCCAACAATTAAGTTATGTCTAGTTTTACTGGTTCTAGGGTACCTGGAGTACATTCTTGAATTGGTGGGTGTGTTGCAGCATAACCCGGGCATAACCCGGCATAACAGACTTAAAGATAATAGTAACAAAGAAAAAATGTCCCACAATTACCCTACGTTTTTATTAAGACGATTGCTAAAGCGGAGACCCCACGCATAAGCAACTGATTCGTCAAAGGAGTACCGCCCTATTCCACTTGAACACGCAAAAAACTGGACGTATGTCAGAGTATGGTACAGGATTTAAGAGAATTTAAAGAGTCCTCTATGTGGGACACAATTTATGGCGATTCATTACTTTGTCCCTCGGGTTCCGCTAGTCGCCTCTTCACATCTTCCAATTCCTTTCTGGTACTGTAGGACGCAAGGAAAATAAAACAAATTAACCGAAAATTCGGGAAACTATCAAGCTAGAGGAGTTGGAGGAAGATTTCTTTAGAAACGGAATGAGTTCAAGGTAAAAAGGTACAAGTGGTTTGTCTTTGTTTAGCTTCGAGACACGACAAGACTTTGATTTCACTGAGTATGATCAAGTTTTTAAATTAAGTAGGTAGTTACTGTTTAGGAACATAACTTTTACCACACCCAGGAAGTATGGAATGAACAGAAAGGAAAGTTGCGCTAGGTGGGGAGTCACATGGCGGACGTGTTGAATTCTCTAGAGCTTTCAAATTTAAAGCACTCTTACAAAACGGCAAAGCATCCCCGACAGCAAAGTTGTTTACCTTGTAAGGTCGTCGTCGTTCTCATCCAATATTCTCTTTTGCATGGCCTCGCACTCTTCAAGGTAATTCCCGGCTGGCTTGAATTCTTCCTTCATTTTATGAATCATTCCAAGGTGAAAAAGCGACTTGGCGGTGTCACGATGGTTTTTCAGTAGCTTTCGACGGATAACCAACGCTTCTTCCGAACATCGTTCAGCATCGTCGTATTTGCCCAAGGCGTAATAATTGTTTGATAGACTGTTTAGGATGGTTGCGGTGAAAGGATGCTCTCCCAGTCTTTCCATGTAAATTTTCAGGGTCTGCTTTCGGACCTCTATTGCCAGCTGATGATCTCCTTCCAGTGAAAGTATTACTAAAAAAAGGCGAATCACAGTTTTATTTACTGTATTTGTCGAGCATGCTCAACATTCAAGTGATATAAAGATACAATAATTCCACTTAGGCTCTTTCCGGCTGCTATGAAGATAATCAAGACAGGATGCAGGATTGATCATAGATCTTTTAAATAAAGTATAGCCTTGAAGCGCCTAAATCTCGGCCTCAAAGTTGTATACGTATATGAGCACGATCTTTCGCAGTAAAGCACTATTTGAGCAATAGTGAAAATCAGACCTGAAAAAAATTTCAGGCCTGTACGGGATTCGAACCACTGACCTCTGCGATACTAGTGCAGCGCTCTACCAATTGAGCTAACAAGCCAACTGGGAGCAGGCCATCAAATTAATTTGATGGCCTGCTCCCAGTTGGCTTGTTAGCTCAATTGGTAGAGCGCTGCACTAGTATCGCAGAGGTCAGTGGTTCGAATCCCGTACAGGCCTGAAATTTTTTTCAGGTCTGATTTTCACTATTGCTCAAATAGTGCTTTACTGCGAAGGATCGTGCTCATATACGTCTCATAACCGCAGTTCACACATATGTTTCATATGTTTGTTGTTGTTTAAAGTTGTATACATTAGAATTCATGTAAAGGATTTACTTCATCTGGTAGTTGAATACAAACAAGAGGATTACACTTATTGATTTGTCTCGAAGTGTACCCTCTCCCTCAGTGTTCTAAACATCTTGTCGAAGACTGGAGTATTTCACGAACGCTTTCCAGTTAAAGCTTGATCATGAATGAAGGAATTTCTGGGTCAAAACGAAAGATTTGGATGCTGCACTTACCTGCCTGATCATTGTATGTTGCACCAAGCATGACTTTGTCATCCTCTCCTTGATCCGATCGAATTTTGATCGCCTGTTGGACTTTTTCTTTCGCCTCATCGAAGTTGCCTTCTTTGGCGAGACATTGAGCAAGTTTGGACAGACACTGAGCTCGGCTGTTACCGGTGTTAATTCCAAGATTACGCTGGATTTGATCAGCTTTCGTCAAATATTCTTTGGCTTTTTGAGCGGCTGAAGCGTTCAGACCAGTTGGTTGAGAGGATCCTCTGAATACTTCTTCGATCCCCAAGGACGTGAGGCAATCGCTCAGTCTTTTCTGATCTGGCATCTGTTCGCATCTTCTTTGTAAAGATTCAAAGGAATATTTAAATTTATCCTTTCTCATCATCTTTGCCAGAAGCTCTGCCACATTGTTGAAGACATCAATGCATCTTTCTGTTTGTTCTTCGTCCATTTGATCATTGTTACACCATTCAACGAGCTGCAAGACATTCCCTTCATCCATCTGAAAGGCATCAAGCGCTTCTGACACGTTCTGGCTCAAGAAATTTTTGAAGGTGTCTTCCAGAAACGTTAAAAAATGGCTGATGAACATCCTCCGAGCATCAAGGATCACTTCACGAAACTCACGTTCCTTTGCCTTAGTTTCACAGTAGTCACGGATTACTTCCAAGAGGGTATAGCGATTGATGAAATCTTTTACCGTACGGGGGAGAAGAGACAAATTCCTACAACTTCCTGTGAATCAATGCGCAAAATATTGCAGTGGAAAATGGATAAAATCTCACAGATACATACCACAGTTTTTATACACAGAAAATGGCGGAGAGGAGAAACAGCAACAAAAGGGGAAAATACTTGCTAACGTTTCCTCAGCTGGTTTTGGTGACGCACCTGAATCTTGAAACCAGCTAAGAGGTTCCGCAAAACAAACTTTCTCTAAAGAGGTGAGGAGAAGCTTGACATTTCCGGCAGTCGTTAAAATTGCATTGGTTAGATTCTTAATCTTCGATTCATCCATAGATGGGTTCCTCTACTAGGGTGACAATTTATTTTAAAGGGGTTGTATTCTGTAATCAAAGTGAAGCAGAACTCAAAATTATCAAGTAACAAAATCGTGTAGAAATCGTAACTTTTCAAGCGATTTTTCAGCTCAGCTGCTTATGGTTATGTCATCAAATAAAGCAACAACTACTCAAGCTGTCTCCCCAGTTCTCAATTCACATTCTCCTTATTCTTATTTACTCTCTTTCTACGTACTTTGTAATATCTCTCATCCTTCTCTTTTCACATCCATTTTCTACAGTATCACCTTTTCTCATCTTTTTACCTTGTCCGCAACTTGGAAGCCCGCTCATCTTTTGCCAACTATTTCCTGTCGTATGTACCAGCCAAGTCATAGTATATAACCCAACAATTAACTTATTGCTACTTTTAAGAGCGAAGCGAACGGCTGAGTTGACCGAGTGAAAATCGAAAACTGTGGCACATGGTTGAAAAATTGAAAACCTTCATATTTTGCCCAGAGACACCTTACAGTGAACTCGGAAACTTGGTAAGTTGTTTTCCACAGACTTGCCTCATTTTGTTAGAAAATTCACGAAAACTGAAACGAGCTTCGGTAGCCGTAAAATGGCAGAAACCAGTGTAGAGGCAAATGAACTTTGCTCATGAAAAGCAGAAAGCAAGCTCTTATCAATGAAATAATTTTGTGTAGGAGGGATGAGGTATGGTTAAGTCTAAAACGGGACCATTTCAATCAATTTGGAGCTCATGGAACGCTTTTAAAAATTAATACCTGTGGGATGCTGAGAGGGTATGTATTCCTCTTCCCTGTGGTCTTCATTTTGTTCTCCTTCTCTTTCGTCAGAGTTATCAGAACCTGTTAAAGAGGTTACAAGTATCAGATAAATGGTAGCAGATAATACTTCGGTCCGTGAGGATTTACGAACCGAAGACAATTGAAGGTCAGAAGATAAACAATTTTTTTCCATCACCCCACTCAATAGGAAAGTCCGAATTTTCCTCCACAGGGGCGGATCCAGGAATTTTGATTGGGGGGGTCAAAACTTTGGTTCAGAAAGGACTGTTGGACTATTTTGAGGCAAATTGCTTCTCCCCAACACCTCCCCCATACCCCCACACCCCCTCCCACCAGTCGCGGCTGCGCGTTATAATTCCTTGGCCGCTTATCGTTTACTTGGATTCATTAATTTAAAAAATCAGTCAGTTAAAAAGTGATATACGATCCTGTCGATGTAAGAACTTCAGTCTCAAAGTTGTAAGCGTCAGGTCTGATAGGGGGGGCCGGACTCCTCGAACCCTTCCCCTGGATCCGCCACTGCTCCAAATCGCTCGATACCACCCTCACTTAAGACTCCTAAGTTAAGACTAAACGTACTTGGGCATAATAATACAAATAAATCTGGCTAGCTCTCAATTTTTGAGAAAAAACTTTAATGGCTGTGTCACACTTGGCCTGGGCAATGATTTATTTGATACATGTAAGGAAGTTCCTAACATTTATATCAAACAATAATTAGTCGTACGATATTTCTGCAAGTCTGATCTACAATCCATTCTCCCTTAAGACTTAGTCATTTAAAGTTAAAAAGAATGCATATAGTCTTCATAAACGTAATTTAACAAATGGTAAACACCACAGCGTACACTATTGAGTTATGGATGCACGCGGGAGGTTGCTAAGCACGAAAGAAGCGTAAGAGTCGCTCGAGGCGATAGCCGAGAGCGACTCTAGCTTCTTGAGTGCTTATCAAACCATCCAAGTGCATCCATAACTTAATGTACCATAGTGTTAACCCTTGGTACCCTACAATATCAGTGTGCATGTTTTCCATACTGCTCTCTACACATTTAATTTCCTATGGCACTTACAAGGACAATGTTTCAGTAACAATCAAGATCTTCTTTTGGTGGTGATCATTTCCCCTTATCGTTGTCACAGGATTGCGACTGTGTCTTCTCCGCAGCTCGGTAGTGGTTGACTGCTTGATATCTACGCGTTATTGACCAAGCGTGAGGTCAAGATGGCTGAATATTGGCCGAGTTTTGCGTTTTGGTCAATAACGCATAAATATCAAGCAATCAACAAATACCAAGAAATGGTCATATAAAATTTCCTGTGACGACGTTATTATTTGATTTTGAGTTCACAAGCCATTGCACGCTCAGAATTCACAAATCATGAATACCATACACTTGTAAATGAGAAACCCGATCTCCCCAACAATTTTCGTACACCCACTGAAATCTATATCAACATGCACTCCAAGACTAATGCCAGCTAGCGTAACGGGAGCTGAAAAGAAAGTAAAAATTTGGCTAAACCCATCTCGCTGAGTTTTTTTCTTAACTTTTTTTCCAGCTTCGATTAACAGAATTTCTCTTACGAATGGGGCTACTTTGTACAAGCACAAGCGGCTCAAAACGCCTTCAGCTTATCAATAGATCATAGGTGATTAAACTGCCCCTAATTCCCTTATCTACCCTTTTTCAATACTTGTGTCATTTGGACCTTTTTCCCACCTATACCAGAGGTTGGCAGTCCGCTGTCCCTAATTTCTGACATTATACTTCGTGTTTCATTCTGCTGATCATTTACGTACGTCATGATGTAACGGAATTTGTCTTGGAAGTTGACGTACTCATGAGCTAAGAGAGTAAAGGAGAAACAATAAAACGCACAAAAAATTTTACCATGCATTCTAATTAAAACTCAGTAAATTTCAGTTGGTACAAGACAAAGGTGACGGTGAGTATTTGCACTGCCTCTTATCGGACATGCGTGAAACTAGAGAGACGTTATCATCTTTAATAATAAAAAAGCATCCTAATCAAACGCATCTTCAAATGCTAAGCACATGGCTCGTAACATCGGCAGCAACACCTAGAATAAATCAAATCAGTAGCGAGTCTACCACCGATGCAACTCTTTATCCCCTACATCAGCGATTTCACAAAATAACCGATGACAAAATTTAAACGATGATGGTTCCAAAAAGTTAGCAGACATAACCCAGCGTACTGGTATGATGATCGTAGATTTGGCTCTAAAATATTATAGTTTTCACTTTAGTTTTTGGTCTGATATTTCCCCAATAGACGATAGAGATATTGATTTACCTTTTAATTACATTTTGTTAGTTTAACCATTTACCATCCCTCCTCGCATAGCTAGATAAACAAACGTTTAATTACATATTTACCTTTCTCAAATGGAACCATTTGAGTCTCTAGAACTTCCATTCTTTCCTCCAGAGACTCGACTTGATTCTTAACTTGTGTCAGTGTTACCAGCGACTTCTCTTCGTCTTTAGGTGGGACAGACAACACTGAGTCGGAGTGTCTTCGAACTCCTCTTTCCAGAATTCGCCTCTGGTTACCTAACAGTAGTCAGACTCGGTGTAAGACAATTATTTCAACTCTTGGCAAGTGCATACCTGACACATATAAATTCTTGGTTGGATCCAGGTTTTTAGAGCATGGGATAAATAGGGACCTGAAGCAGCCATGATGGGAATGCTAGGGAAGACGTCGATTAAAAAATGAATTTCTATTTCAAGTTAGAATTTTGAAAATGGCTGCATGTGTTTACCATCTCTTACAGCGCCACACCTCAACCTCAGTATAAAGTATATAAGCATCTCTGAGTTCCAAATGAAGATTAAAATAATTTGCCGTCGCGGTCTCCATTTTCAGACGACGCCAATTTTGGGGATTTTACGTTGTTGTTTTGCAGAGGACGGCTGAGAGATGTACAAAGTTTTAAAACGCACGTGCTGAGCTATTGTTCTACTCATTAGATCTTTTATGTTGCCACGTCCTCTTTGCCGTCCTGGTTTGCTTAAGGTCGCTAATGTCTGCCGAAGGCGGGCCATCCAAGAGAGGCCGGGGGTACGCACCCCGCCAATCCCCCGCTGACAATTTTGAATTCAGGTTCTCAGCAGAGGTTAACCACTTAAGTGCTTCTGATTTTAAACATATATCAGCAAACGCTTTTAATTTAATTAGCATCCTTCTGCATCCTTTTAATTCAATTCGCTGAATCTTCAGAGAAATTACTCACCATCAGCTTCTTGGACAAGTTCACAGTAAGCTTTCTCGTATTCTTCCCTTTCAATCGTTACAGTCAATTCCACATTATCTTCACCACCGGCACGGGTCTTCATTTCATCAGTCACAAAAAAATCGAATAAACGTTCCTTGAGCGTGCCATCCTCGTACCTGTTCCATAAAGCAGTGAGCCCCATCAGATTGTCGACCTGAATTGTAAAGCACACACACCCTTGACCCACTTCAATCAATCTTGAACCAGCAGGAAGCACACACTTCTGGAAGCCGGCGACCAATTGATCATACGTTGACCAACGAGTCAAAATATCACTAACGGTAAGCAAGGTTATTCCCGCTGCTGCTACTCCACACAATGTCTTCATCTTCAATACTAAAACGAATAGCACTAAATTAAACTTTGAATGTTGAAATTCAAAATCACTTTTTAGTGGTAAATGAGCGAAGATCATTGGAACCAAGTTCAAAAAGTACCGTGAAAGGTGCTTAAATATATTGCTGTCCAACATCGTGGGATTTTTTAATGTCCTTTTTTTTTAACTGCTGACTTTTACTATGCGCGGTTTAAGAGAAACCATACCGTCCCTGTCAACGCCATCGTACGGTTCAACAACATTTAATCGCCGTTTGACGCAAATATGTTCGAACAAGTGTCCGAAAACCCGATCTTTTCCTAGAAGCAGACTATCCAACCTTCGTTGTTTATCTGTGGTTTTATTTTTTGGGTATATTACACGGAATCTTAGAAATCTCACTCGGACGGATATTCTACAGTTTAAAACGAGCATTTTCAGCCACGTGACCCACGGAACCAATTGGAAGCAAGAACACAAACTCAATGGTCGATCAATAGGGTTTTGACAGTCTACTAACGTTCAACCCAGAAGAAAAGCATAGATTAATAAAATTCTTAATTTACATCTTACCTAACTGTTAATGTAACTTACCATATGCTCAACACCTAGAATGTATTTGATAGAGGCTCCTGAGAAAACCTTAAATCAGTACTCATCCTACCCGACAATTTCCCACTGGCGATTTTTGAGGCCACTTCATCGCAGAAATCGGAAATAACTTGGACCGAATGATGCACCGACATGAACATGCTTACAAGTAAGCTCTGAGATACCCACACGGCCTGATATCAAATGAATCCATACTTTTCTTGCCACTGGTCTTTGTAACTTAATTTGGCCCAATCCAATGCAAATTAATATTTGTGAAAACAGCATATCGTGCTTCAGATCTTGAGTTTGTTTATGGAGTTTGGAACTCTTCCTAAGTCAAGCTTAACAGAGNTACTGATTGTGTCCGAGACTTGGTTGGATTCTTCTACAAACGATACAGAAATAAAACTCCCTGGATTTTTGTGCATAAGGCAAGATCGCATTGGCAGAAAAGAGGGATATGGTGGAGTCGCTATTTATGTTCGAGAAGATTTGGTGCTTCGTTTACGGAATGATATTAATACTGGTGCATGGTCAGGAATGTTTATGGATTGAATTAATTGGAGACAAATGCAAACCAATGCGTTTGTGTTGCGCCCATGGAGCACCAGATGTCGATTTCCAATCCTCCTGTCTCTGCGAGATAGTATGCCTGCCGTTGATCTTGAAAAATCGAATGAAGTCATTTTAGGAGATCTTAACGTTAATTTGACGTCAAATTCAAATTTGCCTTGGAAAGATAAACAAGAAGTTCTCAACTTTTCGCGCACTTTTGACTTGACCCAGCTAATAAATGAACCTACTCAAGCATCTGACATCTCGAGGACCCTACTTGATATGATCTTTGTCAGTAATGAACATCGCATTGTTAAATCTGGTGTCATTCCGGTTACGCTGAGTGACCCTTACCTGGCGTTTCGCACTTTGAAGGCCGGTGTTCACATAAAACTGAGTTCAACCAAGAATGTTTCAGTATCGCTCTTATAAGAATTTCGATGCGAACTTATTTAACGAAGATCTCGAAAATATTCCTTGGCACTTCGTCGAGAATTAAAACAATATTGATGACGCTTAACTGACAAATTTTTTTCATAAGTTGCAGACGATCACGCGCCTGTCAAAAAACGACGTGCGATGGAAACATCACTTCCTAAGGCGAATACGAAAATAAGCAAATTAATGAGAGAACGAGACCGTTTTCATCGAGAGGCACGTAAATCAAACTCAATAAGACAACGGATCACTTAAAGGAAATTGAGGAACGAGGAAAACTGCTTAGTAAAATCAGCCAAGACGAAATATTATTGTGACATGATTGTGGAAGCAAAAAAAGTGCAGAAACACTCGCTTGTAAAAACATTGCATAATTTGAATATGTCCCAACTTGTGCATATTATTACTAGGCCCGTGTCAAAAACCTGCCTTGACCACATTTGGTGTAGTCATCCGGAGCGGCTTCACAATGTGAGGGCTATGTCCTCTGGGATATCTGATCACCTCCCAGTTATTGTTACAAGGAACTTCATGACATGTCCAAAGAACAATAAAGATCAACACACGACGATAACTTACCGGGACATTAAAGGTCTTAACAAAGAGCAATTTGTTTCATCGCTTCAAGAGGCCCCCTGGGACTGTGCCTTTGTGTTCGAGGATACCAATGATGTTGTCGACGCCTGGTATAAAGTATTTAATGACATTATCGACGAACACCTCCCTTTGAAACAAAAGAGAGTAAAGCGCAAAGTTCAGCCAAAATGGTTTAACACCGAAATCTTGAAGGGGATAAAGGCTCGTGACAAACTTCTTGTCAAAGCTAGAAAAAGCCAAGCAGAAAGGGATTGGAATGCGTTTAAGCGAGCGAAAAACACAGTGACTCAACTTATCAGAAGTACAAAACAATCCTACTTCAAAGATAAAGTCACTGAAAACAGGAACAATTCCAGGAAACTTTGGAATCTAATCAAGTGTCTTTCGAAGGACGACAAAGGGGCTGAGAACGGCATAAAGGAACTTGTTGAAAACGAGATAAATATCTCGGATAAGCAAAGCATTGCTGAGATACTAAACTCGTTTTTTGTTGATCAACCGAAGAAACTGGTTGCTGCACTTGGGCTTGGCTCGCTGACTGACCCCCCAACGATGACTTCTATCAGTCAAGGCAATAGTGCTTTTGACCTTCCAAGAATAACTCAGAAGAGAGTTGTAGAGTTACTGTTATCTATCCCAACCCATAAGGCCACCGGAGATGACGGCATCAGCGCCAAAATACTAAGAATTGCAGCTCCAGCAATTGCTCCATCGCTGACGAAGTTACTGAACCACTGCCTGTCTACACAGATCTTCCCTAATGCCTGGAAGATCGCAAAAGTTACCCCTGTTTTTAAAGGAAACGGCAGTAGGAATGAAAAGAATAACTATAGACCGATCTCTGTGCTCCCTATTCTTTCGAAAGTGCTGGAGAAACACATCTGTGAATACCTAGTTAACTTCTTGAAAGAGAATGACTTATTCCACCCTCTCCAGTCAGGGTTTAGAGAATCGCACTCCACTGAAACTGCGCTTATTCGATTGGTAGACCAGTTACTGTTTAACCTTGACAATGATAAAGCCACTGGACTTGTTTTTATTGACTACAAGAAGGCGTTTGACCTGATTGACCATAACCTACTATTGTCAAAATTGAAGGCTCTTGGAGTGGGTGAGAGCAGTCTACCCCTGTTCCGTGACTATCTGAGTGGCAGACGCCAGTATGTGAATATAGACGGACACCATTCTACCCAAAGGGCCTTAACATTGGGAGTCCCACAAGGCAGCATATTAGGTCCAATCTTGTTCCTTGTTTTTATTAATGATCTACCTGCAACACTTCAGCACTCCGTGGCTGATATTTATGCTGACGACACATCTATTNAATCTACTTACAGCCGGGAAACAGTTTGGATTCAGGAAGGACCTTTCTACTTTACCTTCATAGATATCTTTTGCTGCGAAGTCTTATTAAATTTGGAACAAGGTAAATTATGTGGGTCCGTGTTTTTGGATTTCAGCAAGGCCTTCGACACCGTGGACCACGGGATTCTGTTACGCAATTAAGCTTCCTGAGATTGGTTTATGTGAGAACTCGCTTCGGTAGTTTCGCTCTTACATCACAGATAGGAAACAGCGCACATGTTGTAGGAACGAGTTTTCTGACGAGTTGCCAATCACCCACGCGGTTCCTCAGGGAAGTATTTTGAGTCTCCTTCACCCACATCAACGATTTGCCAGGCGTCCAGAGTGCCTGTCAAGCGTCACTATGCAGACGACACGGTGATCTACTGCTATAGGTCGTGGCTTAATCAAGACCTTCTAGCGGTGGCAAAACGGCTAAGACGAATATAAGTTAACACTGAATCTGGACAAAACCACATGCATGCTCAAAGGCAGTCACAGGATAACTGAAAGCAAAGTAGCTGTGTCAATTTTTAACCATTGTGTGAACAATTTCAATTGTTTAAAGTATCTTGGAATTTTAATATCGTCTGATATTACTTGGACTTACCATGTCGAATACATTGCAGGGAAAGTTAACCAAAGGCTTGGTCTATTTGGGCGTATTAAGCATTTGTTACTGTCTAGGGCGAGCATCCTTTTTTATAAAAGTGTTGTCGTGCCCTTATTTCAGTACGCATATCTAGTTTGGGGTGACAAGCACAATGTGACATTAATGCCTACCCTACAAGTATTGCGAAATAATAAGGCAGCTTAAATCATTTTAAATCGTCCGCTGTATTCATCTACGTCATATGAGTTAGCGACTCTGAAGAGGATACCGTTAGAAAAAGAGGCGTTTCCAGTAAAGATGTGTGCATGTATGCAAATGTCTAAATGGACTTAAAAACCATGAATTGATTTTAATGACACAGCAACAGCAACATAATTACAACACAAGAAAAAAAGCCAATCTTAGACTCCCCAGCGTCAAGAGGAACTGGGGAAACAAAGAGCTGCATATCACGTTGTAAATGACGTTAATTCACTCAGCCAGGTAATAAGAGGATCTGCTGGTATTAATGCATTCAAGTGACATGTTTGTAACTCCTTTAAATAATTTTTTTCCTTTTAATTTTAAGTATATATTTTAGTCTTTACCTTCGAGTCCTTTTCGAAAACCACTTTTTGTGAAGAAGATTCCTCTATAAAGATTATTTCTCTTGGTTCCAATTCCAAAATTAAGTTTCACGATCGACTTCCTTCAGACAACTAAAACATCGCAAATCATGATATAATCTTACAAAATTCATGGCAAATTGACTGTCTTTAATTCACTCGTGATTCATGCATCATTAACTTGAGCACTCAATTTCTCTACCCAACGCATATTTAGAATTTGAAATCTATTTACCTAAAAAATATTACATTCTTCTATTATTTTCGTCAAGTACAATAAACAATGTCGATAATATCTATACAATTGATTCCAGTTAACAAGTATTACCACAAAGATAATTTCCGTTGTTTGTCTTTAAAGTTGTTCGACGAAAGTTATCGCAAAACAAGAGTTTTTCCCCCTCTGGCATCATTCTGAAAATGGAAGATCAGTTACACTGTTCCAATACATGAAAATTGCTTGGTGCTTCTCTAAGTAAAGTACATGGCTCCTTTCATCTTAGCATTGACCTCGATGGCTTTTGCTGACTCCTTCAGGTCCAGACTGAAAAAAGAAGATTCTAATTTAATAATCCTAAAGAAACACACTTGCTAGGAAACGAATATCTCGCATTATAACGACAAGAACTGTCTTGTTTTCGTTCATTTATTTGTTTTCATTGGTGCACAATTATTTCCTTTTAATATTTCAGAATATGATTTGGGTAAACTGTCTGATCATTTAAGCGAATAACGAATGTTAAGGCTCAAAATAATCCAGAAAACAAAAGAATCTTATACTCCAGTTAACTATTCATTTTCTTTCTATAACACGTCCCTACAATTAAGCTCCAATCTAAATATAATTACAAGTGTGTCCAACCTTCCATTTCCAGTCACGTGGTGTCTGGCTCTGAAAGCCACCAAGTGGGCATAATAGGCAGGGGCTGGCATGGAAACACTACGTGTGCACCGTGCGTACACGTGACACAGTTGGTATGTAAGCTGCTGAAGGCCGTCTGCTGTGAATGA